TTACATCGCCTTTGACGACAGGTGTGCACTGGGTCACTTGCGGTGGAATGGATTTCGGAGCGGGAGATATTTTCCCCTACTTTAACCTTTCTATGCAGTACGAAAAACAGTTGTGGCAGACCCACTTCAAAAGTTGGTTATCCTTATATAATTGTATCAGTTTCTTTGTCAATTTACTGCACCTTCAATGGTACCGCGACTTGCACACATTGCATCGTATGCCATCTTCAACTGCTTGCCCGCAAGCTATCAGACCACAAGGGTGATTAGTTTTAGGTGCCCTCCGTATGCTCATTTTCGGGTTTTCATTTTCTATTTCCCTGCAATGTAGCCTCTTTATTCTTAATTCAAATCTAAGTAAGTGATAACCCAAATTTTGATGATGTCAGCTACGGTTACAATAATAATACAGCTTGATGGCTTCTATAAAGAGTAAAAATGTGCGTCACAACAACTGAGGCGGTTAAAAGTAGTTAGTAAGTAATTATTTCAAATATTCCACTAAAAAGGTTTGAGAATTTGAGACCTTGTATCCCTTGTGACACTGATGAGTAGTATGCAAGGAAGCCGAAAATAGGTGAATAATACTGAGCAATACAATAAATGCTACAACAAAATGCTATAACCTAACGAAAACAGCCCCAACCAGCAAGAATAACAATAAAATAACCGAAAACGACAAACAGCGACCGGTGTAGCGCAGGTAGCTACGCTGTTATGACATCATCAGCCTACTGAATGAGAAGATCATTTGGTTTAGTGGGAAGGTCACGAATATAGAAAGAGAAAAGAAAAGGGGACAAAATTGCTCCCTGGAGCGCCCCTAAGTTGACTGGTAGGGAGTCAGAGGTTTTCCAAGAAACTTTGTGAATTGCGTTCTACCAGCAAAATAATCTTAAAGTAGGGAGAGAATATTATTGGACATTCCAGCATCTTTGAGTAGAGACAAAAGCCTGCTCCTGTCAACACAGTTAAAAGCATTAGTACAGTCGAGAAAACACACACGAAATGCCCTGCCGTGCATGTCTAGGGATCGTAAAACTGAGTTTACTAAATGAGCGAGAGCATCTCAGGTAAAGCGTTGTTTGAGATAAGCGAATTGGTTATCATCTAACTGCCCAGTATTTTTCTATTTATCTATATTTCTATTTTGATACTGACAGGTCGTTGTTTTTGATTCATCAGTGCTACAGACTCATCAGATATCCAATGCCTGCTTTAGGCTTGAGGCTCAGTCCCTCAAGCATTATTCGCTATGGAATGCATTGCTCGTATAATCTGATCCCACTGCTCATTTAGATGATCAAGTTGAAGCGCGCTTAGCTCACGAACTAGTTCTGAATCATAGCCTGCACGAACTGCTGGAACAGAAAGTCGATGTTAAGCTATCGGAGTTTGCTGGTTTTGTCTTTGACCAGTCAAACGAAGAGTAAACTGCATCAAAACCTATGCGTGGTTAGATTCCACGCAGGTAGTCCGATAGGACCCGCAATTTTGCACTGACCCACGCCAANACTGAGCCACGCCAACGGTAACTGACTGCTATGCGGTCGATTTCAGCTAACGTACCAGTTGAACGCCAGTTGGAACGCCACGTTGCCGTCCGTCGAGAGCTGCGTCGGAAGTTAGTGCTTGATAGGAACAGGTGATGGTCTGCGCAGAACTGAAAAAGTAAATCGCCGCTATCTGTTCGTTGACTGGGCAGAACACAACTACCGCCCAGTTTTCCAAACTGCGCGTTGAAGTTACCTGCAAGTACTCAGATCGATTATCCCTTCATCATTTTCTTATTGACTGAAACGTAAATTCCGGTCGAACCCCCAACCTGGAGGACCAGGAGACTGAACTTCGTCTGACCTCTACCCATTGAACTTCCAGGCGTAATGAGATCTCTTGATAAAAGCCATCTCGTGTAGCTTGTCGGGTTAGAGAGGTGCACAAGCCATCACACCACGTCAAGGGGAGAAGATGGGAAGGAGATAAAATCTCTGGTCTAAAATATGTCTTGGTGGCCGGATTTGGATGCAGACATTCGCACAACTGCGAAGAATTGTTAAGCGTGTCGGCACAAAGTGAAGGTGAAACCGAAAAACTGGACTCCAAGGCCAGAGAGTTATACGGCAACGGGTAAATGCGCACTTCTGCGACCCATTTTTGAACAGATACTATTCTTTGGTTCTCATTGATTCATGCTCAAAGTTGCCCGAAGTATTTCTGAAAAGTATGCTAACAATATCCTTCGTGATCCTGGCTCTTTGGAAGTACTTCATTCGGAAAGGAATACCGCAAGTGCTCATCACAGACAATTCAGTATCAAGGAGATGAAGCTTGGCTTGAAAGCACTGAATGTCGACGTTAAAGTACAGCTCCAAGACATCCCTGTTCGAATGGTCAGGCTAAACATTTTGTGAATCAATTCAACAGTGCACTGACACCCGCGAATCTAAAATCAATTACGGACTTGGAGGCATTTCTGGACAACCTCCGAAATGCGACACATGCGACTACCAAGGAAAGTCCGGCAAAGCTATTTAAGTCACGGTACCTGAGGTCTTCTTTGAGATGTATGGATTCTACTGATTGGACATACTTCAGGGGCAACGATCTACGCCCGGTCCATGGCATCATCACTAGAAATTCGGGTCAGTCAATGGTGGAGATAACCGATTTGACAGATACATCTGTCCACCGACGACACATCGACCAGATACATTTCAGAGGTGACTAAACTGTCAGGGCATCAGAACCCCATAAAGAAGAGGATAACACTAGCAACTGTAAACCGCCTGAATCTGACTCTACGATTCAGCGGGTTCTCAGTCCGATTCAATGTTCGCCCTATTTTATTTTGATTCCTATTCCAAACACTACAGATACATAACTTGTGACCAGCGGTCCGGTCTCCAGCCTTGTTTGCAGAGTGCAGCTCTGCCATCAGTGGTGACGGCTTTAAGATTAAAATTTAGTAAGTCACACATCCACGTCTCCCCATCTGCAAACATAAACAATGTACGACAATCGCAGTAATCAAAGGCCAGTGCTCTGATGCCCCATGGTGGAGTCACTCCGATTGCCAGTAACGATATGTTGAACGGAGCGCCAGTGTACCGATCGCCTATGTGTAGGTCAAGTAACGTTTTGAACGAAGGTTTACTTATAGTCTGCACTACTGTCATTGGCAGTGACTTCCAAAAGCGACATACGCTTCCCGAGAAACACTGTTTCTCGGGTTCTCAGTCTGGGACGCTGCCTCTCCAGTTTCATGGAGCAGCCGCGCAAAGCTGACGGAGGGGCCATCGTCAAAAGGTGCCTGCTAGAGTTCTCCTGAACGCTTATCATGTCCCTCAGAATGATCAGGTTGCCCCTTGCTCTCCTATAATTTACGCTATACAAGTTGAGCGAACGGAGTCTGTCTGGGTAGTGGGTGTGTGACAGGCCCTGTACTCTAGGTGGCTTTCATCTGTGCACGCTCAATGGCGTTGATATTCCTCCAAAGCAGCGCTGGGCACGCCTGGCTGTTGATCTATATAAGTGTGGCCTGATGAGTGTAGCGAAAAGCTTAGGGATAGACTTTGGTATGAATTTTCTTAGAAGTCGGCTGAGTTGATTCAG